GAAACATTGCATCTTGATTACATCTTCCAAGAAACCATTCAGAAAAGATAACTCGCGGCTCATAATCAGTAGCTTTAAGTGCCTGAACTTTTTGAATGTGGTAAGGGTACAATTGTTGTTCACGCAAAACTTTCCATACCGTGTTACGTCCGACTCCCATTTCTGAAATTAAATGAGAGAATCTGTGTAGTGAATAGTTAAGAAAGAGAATCCATTGATTTGGGAAATCAGATTTTTTCTGCATAACGCAACTCTTTTTGATACGAAAAGTCGTGAAATGTAAGAGAAGCAATAACAAGTAAAAAAACTAGTTTTATACGATAAGGTACGGGGTAGCTAAAATAATAAATAAGTAATTACTTACCATTTGCTATTTTTCTGGTACTTGTCGATGGGGTTTCAGCTACCCTATCCAAAATTGCTTCTTCCAAAGCAGGAGTTCTCACATAATTTTGTCTTCCACTGTTACTAGAGTTTTTCTTAAATGTACCAGTTTCCCGAAGTCTATCGTCAATTCTAGAAAACGTCTTAGCGCATGGAAGATGCCTATTTGGAAAGCGCTCCTGATAAAGTCTGCGAGCTTCATTGGCATTTCCAGAAGCGAGTCCAAAACATAAGTGCATGTCCGTCATTTCGCCGAATGTGTAATCATTATTGTAGTTATTGTGAGCCATTTTAAACAAAATAATAACAATACAACGAATCGCACCAGAACACTTTTAGAAATAATGTTTAACTGAAGAAACATTTTTATCAGTGAGCGAAAAAAATTATCCATGAAACACAAAAACGCCAAAAAAATACATATTTTTACTTTTTTATTCTAAACAGCTAAATACAAACCTTATGGTCTTCATAATAAATAAATGGGAACTAAATTTTTAAATTTTATTTAGAGAGCTAAAAATAGTATACAGGGTGATTGATTAGTGTGAGGAAGCTCTGTAGATCTGTTATAATAAAAGTAGGCAGCTTTAAGCTTCACATTTTAAAATTAGTTACGATGTGACAGGGTGTTTCATAAGGCCGTGCCAAATCAAAGTTATGTTTTTTAAATGGAACACCCTGTATATTTTTATATTTTTAGAATCTGCTCGATAATCTGATTTCAATGATATATCACACTTGTTATCTAATATGAATAGTAAAGGATCTACAGCTACTCAAAAATCACATTTTTTCAAATTCAGGTGGCTGTTGTAGCCAAACAGTTGGAAATCGAGGAAAACGGCTTACAGTCCCTATCCTAACTTTTTAAGGTCTATTCAGTGACATAAAATACATATTATTTGATACAGGGTGATCAAAAATCCAAAATCACATCCGATTTTTGATCACCCTGTATCAACTAATATTTTTTGCCACTGAATAGACCTTCAAAAGTAAGGATAGGGACTGTAAGCCGTTTTCCTCGATTTCCAACTTTTTGGCTACAACAGCCAAAATTGAAAATTAACCTAAACTGCACGAATATCTTTGGATGATGTTTTCTCGGAAACGGCTGCTCCAATCGAGATCAAACAAGTATTCCTTTTTGACGTAGTTTTCAATGTAGAATGTAAAAAAAATATGGATAAGTCATTACCAAAAACACAAAAAAGTTATGAATAATCAAAATTTTCAAAAAATTCCCAAGTACACCCCTGACGAAATAATTTCTTTTTGAAGGTGTCAAAAGGTCACTATTATTAATCATATTTAACAGCCAAAATTTGGTTCTTTTATTTGTTTCCATTTTTAAGAAAATTCAAAAAATCAAAATAAAAAAAATGATTTCGAGAGGCTGTTGCTCGCTTAGGGGGCACTTTAGGACATAGGTCTATAGGAACTTTTTTTCCATTTTTTGGTTAAGGAATCTGCCTGAGAATTTTGGGACACATTTCAAAGGACACCCTGTATATTTACCACGTACAAGTAGTTTAAATACTATTTCTGCGGTCCTTTCTGTTTATTCTCTTTGTTACATTTTTTTTTATATAATTTTGTACGCATACCGTTGGAATGAATAAACATATTATTATTAAAAATTCCACTTTACTCAAAAAAATAACATTCACGAAAAAAAATTATAGATGAATTCTTAAGAAATTCACAAGTACATTTTTAAAAGTAAATGAAAACAAATTTATTGAGAAAAATCGTCCCGGGAAGTACCCAAATAGCACCGAACGGTTTTATTCAGTACTTCAAGGATGCTTTAAAACTGTAAAATAAAACTGCAGTTGAAATCAATTAGTTTTAAAAGGAGCCTTTAGGTTGTAATAAATACGCCTTCAGCATAAAAGGGCCCACTCTGATAGAGGCCAATAAAACCAAAAATAAAAACCATCATAAAACTATATTACCTTAAACAACTAATTTTAAAGCTGCTGTAGATACCCTTTTAAAACCACTTTAAAAACACGCGGTTTTGAAGTGGACTTAATAATGTTAGTTACATGTATACTTTTAAGGATAATTTATCTTATTGTTAACTTATTAGGTACGAAAATAGTTTTTTAAAACTTCAGCAAATAAAAGCAATTTATATTTGAAGATGATAATATGGTGACGCTCTAACCATGAACTATAAAATAATAAAAAGTTAGGTAGTGATTTCGGAATGTCAGGGTAGAAATACATACTGCGCACCCGACTTTATCTATAAATGTTAACGAAAAAGTCTTAAAAAACTTAGGAGCCTCAAAATTTTATAATCCAAAAAAACAAAATTGACAATTGAAAAACAAATTAGAAAGAAAAATAATTTTATCTATTATTTAAAATTTTTCTGTATTAAAAGAAATCGAAATTATACGTTTAAGTGGTTAACTTGTCGTTTTTATATAAGCCTAAATATTTTTACCTAACATGACTTCCACCATCTTGAGAAAATAAAATGGCCGGAAATTAAATAAAAACCATTTAGTTAATGGACCAGGAAACGTTACGATCAAAGGGTTTTATTTAATCGAGTTTTATACGGTTCCAAGAGCACATATCCTAGACAAAAGAAAGGTGCGCTTGTGATTTAAACGGTTTAGTTTTAATGCGGCTATGATAAATGCCGCTCGGTTTTAATGTAAACCTAACATTAAATTTTCAGTGTCATATTAGTCGTTTGTGTTTTGTGTAGTTTTAGATTAGTAATAATATATTGTTTTCAGTTTTTCTAATTATTGTAGGTACACCCCTGTTTGACATGATACAAAATGCGGGGTTCATTTGGGCCACGTAAAAATAGGGGATGAGTTTAATTTTCTAACAAGAAGTATAATTAGTCTTTACGATAACCAAGTTGATTTATTTAAGAGCTTTCCGTTTTAATATAGCTATCTAATTGCATTTAAGAAAGCCGTTATAAGGAAAAGTAATAAAATAGTTTTAAAACGCAATATTTACTGACCAAATTATCCTAAGATCAAGCAGATTTAATAATAGGTTTTATTAGTTACATTAAGAATCGTTTAAAAACTACTTAAAAACTAAAACGTCACAATCTAGAACATAATAAAACCAAACAACCTGCAAATCCTTCACAAAACTAAGTAGTTTTAAAGTTAATTGAAACTAATCCATTTTAAAACTACTAAAACAAGTCATACAAACTTTTAAGATTAATTAGCCTTTTTCCTGGGAAGATTTAAAAAAGATCCGCTAGGGGCAGCACCGGGGAGGGGGGGGGGTTACATATGTTTTGAATTTTCTATTAACAACAACGTCAAATGTATAGATTTATAATGGAAATGAACAGAAAATGATGTACCTGGAGCGAAATTGAAAGTTGCAAAAGTGCAAGATCAGAGGCTAAATTATTATTTAATTTGGATTTTTGATTACTATTAGCACTTTTATTACTAATTTGTAGTGATTCAACATCAGTAATAGTAGAACAGATAAGTTTTTGGTGTTTATTTTTTCCAGTGCTTGAGTCCTCTTCAATACATCGTTGCTGTCTTTTATATTTCATACACAATTAAAAAGAAGTTTAAGTTCATTATTTACTATCAATAATGATAATAATATGTAAACTGATATAAAATAAAACCTCTTTGAATAAACAATTACTAACCTTTGAAACTGTCGCTGGCAATGGATTTGGGTTTTCTATTGTTGGTCCATTTGAATTAATAAAATGTCTTGTACAAATAAAAGTATGTTTTTTTATTTTTTTAACTGTTAAATCTGCCCTTCGTGATAAATGTATCCACTCCAAACACTTTTTTTTGTCAACTTGTGGTTTTATAAAAGGCACACATTTTACACCATCTTGCTTGTAACGATTGTCAGACGTACAATTTGCATACGCACAATGTTTTGTAGGCATGACAATTTGTTTTTTAATTTTATTTATCACAATATTTATTTATTCTAATAACAATAAAACGTACGTTTGACGTTGTTGTCAATAGAGAATTCGAAACATATGTACCCCCACCGGTGCTGCCCCCAGTGGATATTTTTTAAATCTTCCCAGGAAAAAGGCTAATTGCCCTTATTAGCGAATCTTATTAGATACTTTAAAACCAGTATTAAATGCTAAACAGCTTTTAAGTGCCCGCAGTATATCTACAAGGTAACTTTAAAACCAGTATCTTCTTATTTACCACATTAAAACCATTTTAAAACTGAAATAAACCCAAAATGTTTTTATGGTGCTACTTGGGTATTCTAATATCACATTCCCTCATTGATCGTCTGTGTGTTAAATATGTTGATACACTCTCCCAAAACGAATTTTTTATTTTTTTTACTTTGGAGATTCAAAAATAGTCTAATAAGAAATTTTATAAAAATGTTGAAAAAAATTCCAAAGAATTTTACAAGAATTTCCAAAGAATTTCACAAGAATTTTTAAAGAATTTCCTAAAAATCCCCAAAGAATCTGCAAATAATTTCCAAAGAATTTCCAACAATTTCTTATATACTTTATTTTTCGGCACGTGTAACCGATAATATTTCGGATCTTCAAACTGATCCCATCTACTCAACATTAATGTAATCAACTTATTTTTTTATAGGCCTTCTCAGACTCCAACAGATTTACCAAGGATTAACACCGGGCAGTGAAATTTTTCAAGTCCAAACGGTTAGAAGAATAAATAATGTGAGCGAAGCTCTGGTGTTCCTGCGAGGAATAGAAGAGCAGTCAAGGTGGACCAATAAATACGTGGTTCTAGATTGTTCGACAGAAACTGCCAAAGAAATCGTCGTTAGCCATGTTAGGGATATATCATTGGGAAGAAGAAATTACCATTATCTGCTTTCGGGATTGGTAAGTTTTTATTTATTTATTTATTTATTTATTTATTTATTTATTTATTTATTTATTTATTTATTTATTTATTTATTTATTTATTTATTTATTTATTTATTTATTCTGCTGCCTAATAACAATATTAAAACAGTTTACAACAGTTTGAACCCAATTAATTTCATTAAAACCTCGCATCAACCCTACTTATGATAAAGTCATCACTTTCATATAATCAACTCATAAAATCCAAGCTTACAAGCTTACAGTGGTTTTGATACGGATCGGATGTCGATTTAAGCGAACTCAAAGTTGGAAATACCAAAGGCGTATATAGACCTTTTAAATTTATTACCTTGGACCGACGTCAAAAAGATACTTTAGAAAAGGCGGATGTCCACTTGTAAGTTATCCACGCATGGCTGGGTTCAATTTATGCATTTTGGTTGTCATAGAAAGCCATTCGTTCTTTGCGGGATAGAAGTAAAATATTTTTATGCTTTATTTTTCTGAGAATCTCTCATACTTTTAATTAAAAAAACAAGATTTGCTAGGATAGTTAAAATAATATAAATCGTATTTTATATAGTAAATGAACAATATTCTGGTAACAAAGATATAATTATGCTTTAATGCCTCTACTAATATATTTCCTCTTGGCTACAAATCAGCTGCATTACAGATATGTCCCTGTCGTCTGTTTAGTATGTTAAATCTGTTGCATTTTACTGTCTAAGGTTGAAAATAAATATTAAAATAATTTACGATATAAAAATAGTTATGTAATTTTTTAATCAATTTTTCCTATACTCGTCTTTACACTATCAAAGTTTCGGTACTGCCTTAAAGCTGTGTCTCTTAGGATGTGCGTAACGCCGGTAGCACTCCATATTCGCTCACATTTTTGCCGCCAGAGACGATAATATCAGTATCAGTAATGTCAGTATTGCTGTTAGTGATTTTACATTAAATAGGTGAGTTTTCATTATATTTACTTGATGTTTCCTCAACTTATGAAAAAATTAGTTCTTGCGTATGTTTTCATGTGGTAAAAACGGTCACATGGCCTATTTTTTAAAAAATCAAGCTTTAAATTAGAAAGAAACAAGTAAAATTCTCTCAAGGGGTATCATAATCTTATTTTATGTTTAAAAATGTAAACAATGCAGAGATAAAGTTACCAGATTCGCAAATCCGTATTATTGTAACGCCGGTCACAGTATCGCCGATCACAAAATTCAAATGTGAAAAACGTGACCGGCGATACGTAAATATGACCGGTAATATAAAATAATAATTTAATGTAAGTTATAGGCAAATTCAAAGAAATAACGGAAGGTATTATTATAAAAAAAAATACCGCAATTTAAACAAAATATATTTTTATTTATTTAGTTTTATTCTTCTAGAAAGAAATATTGATTCAGGTGTAACAACCGGGAAGCCAAAGGATCACCACTTTTCACTAAATGTCACCAAATGTAACAACCAACTAGCCTAAAGACCATTTGTAACTACTGATATAGGTCTTTAGCTACTGTTTGTTAATATACTATTAAGGGATTAGGGCAGCGCCGTCACCAGTCAAAGGGTCCTAGAGTCCAGAAGGAACATCAATTCACCAGTGGCAAATAATAAAAAAATTAAATTAAAAGAATAAAAATTATCCCTTAATAGCATAGTCGAGCGGTTCTTGGCAACTAGTTTTTAGACTATTTTAGTCCTAAGGGAATTGAAACGCTGAGGCATCACAAATGCTCGGAAAATTTGACTAATAGTCTTAAGAAAACATGAATAAAATTCCATTTAGGGAATAAAGCACTATAACTACATAATATAAAAATATGGATAAGATAAATATGATAATTCGGGACGAAAATGTAAAATTGGCATTTATATGTAAATCAATCAATTATTATTAAACAAAACACTTAAAAATTAAGTTAAAAATATTAACCCATAATTTACAAATCGTACACAATACTTTACTCTACACATCACATTGTTTTGGGATATAAAGAGTCCAAAAAAAAAACGAGATCCTCCGCACTAGGCGAAAGGTATGGACCTTAGTCCATCCTCAATTGAGAGTGCACTCGAGAGAGCTCCTTTCTTTCTGTCTCCTCTCGATATAAACCAACATGTACGTGATGGTTGTATTTTTTAAAAATGTCACGCTTAATGTAGCCATTGACGTGTCTTCCTTTTTAATTTTTAATTTAAAACAATAAAATACTTATTTAGAATTTTTGGTAAATTCTTTGTTATTAAGCAGGTTTAAAAAATGTTGCCCATAGATAATTACAAAGACTTAAAAAAGATCGTGAGAAGCGGCAAAAATACGAGACGACGAAAAAAAGCTGAAAAAATAACAAAGAAAAGGAAAAAACCTTATAAAATAAAACTAATGGCAAAACGCCAAAATGTAGAAACAAATTTATTTCCACGCGAGTCATTAATGCAAGAAAGAGAGAATTTACAAGCTCTATCGGCAAGATCAGAGTTTGAGACATATGAAGTTATTACTTCAAAGGACACATCCATAAATAGACCTTTAAACAAAATAGGAAAAGTTAACAAAAAGAAGCGTCTTTTGTCTACAAAAGCTTTGAAAGAAAAGCGAAAAAGTACAGGGAGAGGCAGAGAAAAAGACGGTCAAATATGTCCGCAGCAGACTTGGAAAAAAAGCGAGAAAAAAAGTAGCAGAAGGAACATGAAAAAAATTTAGGGCCAATATGGATGAAAGAGAAACACGTAAGGATCGAAGATTGGTTAGAATAAGGGTACAAAGATGTAGACAAAAAAAAGGAGGAATAACAACAATTACAAAATTTCATGGAAAATGACACTTCACCAAATAGCCTACTACCTTGGGATGGTGATGTTTTAGAGAATCAATTTAATTCTAGCCGGAATTTGAATGAATGTGAAAGAAAAATTAAATCGTTTAAAAGCATATAAGATGTTAAAAGAAACTCAAAAAAAAAACTTAAAAATGCCATACTACTTACAGAAAAGTATAAAAAACGCTATTAGAGACTAAAGGTACCATTTGGGTAGGCGCGTCAAGAGACAAGCAACCACTGATGCGACTCCAAGGTCGAGTAGGACGACAGATGCATAAATGTTACGCTTGGTGCATTTCACAAGCTTGAGAAGTGTCGCGCGACAGTTACAGGATAACCATTTGAGGAAACAATCAGCGTTGCCAGAACTACTGTTTTCACGTAGATCTACCGTTTTTGTCTCTAGCAAATTTTGTTCTTAATTTATTAAGTTTGCCTCATTCTTCAGCAAATGGTTAAAGAATATTTTCTCTAGTAAATTTTCTGCAGTAAAAGCAGCGTAATAAGCATCCACTACTCTAGGTTGGCTCCATAAAAAAAAAACATCAAGATAATCATTGTTTTTATTTAAAATGAAACGAAGAATTAATAGGGCATCATAAAAAGAACATGCATGCCAAACACAACGATTTTGAATTATCTGATTCAGACTGATCTAAAAGAAGTAGGTACCTATTATTTTTCATTTTTTTTTTTTTTGTTTCCGAACGTTAAGTATATATAAAAATGTTATTATTTGTGTTTATTCTTTGTTTACCTTCTAATTTGGGTCGAAAAAAGTTTATTTTTCGTTTCTTATATAATTGTTTTTTTATTTACTACACTGCAAATTTTAATTATTTCCACCTGTATTAAAATCTACTGTTAAGATCTACGGTTTTTTTTTACTTATACTGTTTTAAAATCTGGCAACGCTGCCTAGATCGAAAGAAATTTCCGACCAAATCACCCAAAAAAAAGCGATGCCGAGGACAGTGACCTCGAGTGCGATACGCAGTAAAGCTTTGCACCGAGAAGTGTTTCCAGGACGACACTTCTCGGTCGTGTCGCGCCGTGCGAAATGTGTTTCATATAATTGTATGTATTTTAGATGTGAAGCGACACTTCTTGGTCGTGTCGGCGGTCGTATGTCGCGTCGGCGGTCGTCTGTCGCGCCTACCGAAATGGTACCTTAAAGCAATAAAAAACCCCGTCACCAAATACAAAAATTAACAGACTGGCTGAGGGTAGACCCGTTCCAGAAGAAGTAAGGAAAATGCTTTTGTTTACTGTAACCAAAGAGTACAAAATATAACTATAAAAGAGAAGTCACTCGCGGCATTTACAAAGGAAATCGTGTTTCAAATGCGGGCCGACAAGTCGGCGTTTTTTCAAAGAGTACAGAGCTAATTGGGCTATACCGGGGTTAAGCGGTAAGACGCGCGCGGCGATGATAGTGGAATGTAATGGCCAATATTACAGCGGAATCTAACGTAGCGGAGCAAACGAGCCTTACGCGTTGAACTACACCGGTATACTGCCGATATTGCCGATCGAGAAATGACTATGGAGGACTGGCGGCTGATCGCGTTAGAATCTGGTAATTGGGCGAGTGACTCCTCTTTTATAGTTATATTTTGTACTCTTTGCTGTAACTGTTACACAGTGCTTAATTAATTAAAAAAAAGATCTAATTAAATCTCCAAAGGATTTAAACACCTTTCATATAATTATCTCCATCGATTTATTAAAAAAAAGGTCATTTAAAAAATCGAATAAGGCTAAAGACACACACGGCTGTTTTCGCCAAGTCGGCCGCCGACTCGGCCGCCGCCTCGACGGATGCTGTAATGTAAATAAATGGAGTTGTTCACACTATACTGCCCTGCGAGAAAGCGACGCTACACCGCCGCGCGTACCGTCGTTCGGCTCAAATGCATTACTTTTTTGTGAACCGCATCGTGTGTTTTGTCCAGCCGAGTCGGCGGAAACAGCCGTGTGTGTCTTTAGCCTTAAGGTATTTCTCGAACATGGAAATAAAAATTACTTTCTAAAAGAACAAGAGATAATGTCCTAAGATTTTATGAAGAAGGCATACATTCCAACATTTTGCCGGGAAAAAAGATTGTGTGACACAGAAAAAAATTAAAAAACAAATACGCATTCTTTTGCACTCAATAAAGGTAAAGGATCTTC